ACTTAAAAACTTTTATTTTATTTTAGGATTAGGTATCACTTTATAACACTGTCTGGGCTGGAATTTACTGTGTAGAACAGGTTGGCCTGAACTCCTAAGTGCTTGCTGTATGCCACCACACCCAGGTTCCATGTAGTTCAGGCTTGCCTCACACTTGCTGAATAATTGAGAATGACCCTGAACACTGCCAGGTGTAGTGCTTTTGAAAGAACAAATTGGAACACAGACAGCAGTTAAAAGGACAACTACATGACAATGTGATTTCTTTTTCTTAAAAAAATACATTTATTAATGAGTGTGCATATATACTTCCCCAACACAGTTGTGTCATGGCACATTTGGAGGTCAGGTAACAACTTGTGGGAGTTGGTTTTTCCTTCTACAATGTAAATCCTGAGGATCAAACTCAGTTCTTTGAGGCAAGCACTTTTTTAACCTGTGCTTCTTATAAGGTTTCTTAATATTTTGTATTTGAATGGATTCTTTTTCAAAACCAATTCGAGTTCAGGCTTTGTCCTTACTGGTAATAGTTACTGTTAGCATAGCTGCTAAATCATCTTTTAAAATACCCTTAGGGAAACATTCAGCTCAAGTTGTATTTTTTCAAGTAAAATTTTTCTGGTGTTTCTTAATCCTTCTGCTATTAGTGGAGAAATAAATTTTTGTGTTGGTTCATTTGAGTATTTACTTATAGCCAAATAAATTGGTCTTTAAAAAGAAGAGTACTTTTAGCCCTGAGTAATCTTAAATTGGCATCATATTAATTTTTAAACATCTTAAATTGGGAATGTTTGGCAAAAGAGGAAATATTACATTTTAGATCAGTAAAGAATATGATTCTCTGATAATTGCTCCAGAGTGATAAATGGAAACTACTATGTTCCATCTTTCCAGAACTTGTAACCTACTTGGGTGTAGGGCTAATGAGGCAAGAACACAAATAGCCATGACATATTGTGCAAGGCTGATGAATTGGTGTAGGCAGGTACATAGCGCATGACCCTTGAAGAGAAAGTAGTGTCTATTTTTTGTTTATCTTGCATAGCATCTTAACACTTTTGTTTTTAAAAAGAGCTGAACCAAAATGTGTGATGGTTATAGAAATGCAGAAAAAAAGGAGCGTGGGCTTAGAAAGCTTCCTGCAGGTATTTATATTGTAGAAAAACAACCTCTTGGGTTGAAATTGAATCAGGCAGCCAGCATAAATACCTGCAAGAGGTATGTAACAGCTTGGAGTAGTGAAGCCTAAGAACTCCGAAGGCATCTTAGCTTAAACTCTTTCCTAAGTTTATTTTGAAATTTGGTAATGGAAGGCTGTGTGGCATTGTGAATATAATTAAGATTCATAGAATTGTACAAGTTAAAGGATTAGAGGATAAATATTATTTCTGCTTTATCAAAACAAAAATGAAAACCTTCTGACACAGATACTGATGAATGTTTAATGGTGTCACTTTTAGTTGATGGATTGGTTGGTTACATGGGAAACTATTGAATTCATCTTCTATCAGGAGTTATAAATGCCTTTTCTTAGACATCTTAAGTTTATACGATAAATGAAATGAACAACTGGAAGCTTTGTCAGGTAGGGGGATAGCTGGTCAACTGTAGTGTCTCTGAATGTCCACAAGAGGTCAGGACACACTAATGTTAACGAATAATAGGCAGTTCCAGGATAGTCTTTTATTCCTTTTGTTCTCATGGTAACAAAAATTTTAAACATCTAGTTTGTTTTTATGTTTGTGTATGTGTATGTTTGTTGTGAGGGGCCAGGTGCAGGTACTCTTAGAGGCCAGAGGCTTTGGCTTCTTGGGAGCTTGAATTACAGATAATCTTGGGCACCTGACTGACTTGGGTGCTGGGAACAGAGCATGCTCTAACTCACTAAGACGATCTTTTCAACCTCCATTAAAAAAAAATCCTCAAACCCATGTTTTAGCCTTTTTATTTGGCAAGTAGTAGTGGTATTTGATTTGGAACTAAATTCTGATGTTTTCCTGATGTAGTTGTGACATTAACCAACTTCAGCTAAATTAGTTGGTACTGAGACATCAAAGTGAATGTGGATTTGAGAGAGCTTCACTCTAGTCCAGGCCGGCCTCAGACTCACTCAGTGTTTTAGCTTCAGCCTCCTCCTGAATGTTGTGATTATAGGCATAAGCTGTTATACCTGACTAATTGTTTAGGATTTGTTTGTTTACTTGTTTTTTGATGTAAGATTTAGAAATGACTGTTTCCTCTACATATAATGGATTTTGGGGATCCAGTCTGTTTGGACACTCACCTTCCTGGACCTGGAGGGAGGGGGAAGGAACTGGAACTTCCCACAGGGCAGGAAACCCTGACCGCCCTGGGGGACGAAGAGGGAGGAGGAGGGGGAGTAGGGGGAGTGGGAGGGTGTTGGGAGGGGGGGTGGAAATGGA